CACACACACACACACACACACACACACACACACACACACACATATTTTCATGCACTCGTACTCAATTATCACAATACGAAAAAAGAAAGAACAACATTTCCTGTAGCTTTACTTTTAAGAAAATCGTCTTTAGTTATTCTAGAAATATCTATATGCATACTTCTAATAGTTATCGTTCTTTATCTTTGTATTAATCCTTTCCACTAGGATTTAATTATTAAGACTTATTTAAGATTTAATTTATTCGGTCTCCTTTTTGTGCGGTGCGTTGGAGAACATATATATAACCATTACATAAACATACACATGATTTTAAGTCATGGATCGTTTTCCAATAAAATTATGAACAACCTTCTAATCTTTTATTATTTTTACGACGATCATGAAATGTCTAATATTGATTAATTTTAATTTTTAAATATTTACTTTTCATATAAGATACTAAATATTCTTCTAAAAATATGCATTAACTAATTACAAAATTAAAATTAAATTTATATCATTATTTATAAAAATATTACGCCTGTAGATATGCAACCCTCCAGACACACTTGAAAATGTTGCTTATGAGTGCCATCTATTGGGACGGAATTTTTTTTCAGTCCAAACTGTTTATACACGCATGTATAACGAGTTGTCTATCTTTCGGGCAGAAAAAAATTCCGTCCCAATAGATAGCGCTTGCAAGCAACATTTTCAAAGTGTGTCTGGAGGGTTGCATACTTACAGGCGCGCATTTTTATAGTTATTAAATAAATAATTAGAAAGAAAGTACAAAATAATATTATAATAATATTATAGAATAAATTATCCTACTCCTGATAATTATGCACTCATGTCATTCTTTCGAAACTTGACTTATTAAAAGTTTTTTTTTTTTTATTCGTGTGAAAGCTTATATTGGTCAATGAATTTTATAAAACTAACGAATAGAAACAAATTTGGAAATGAAATGGATGCGAAATGTGTAAATCTAATGAGTAAGGAATATAAACCTGATATTTTTTACGAAACATTTATTACAAATTGGTCTTCATGGTCTTTTTTTTTTTACTTCTTAGTTTCCAACTTTGATGATCCCCCCTCCTTCTTCCAAGGTAATTCCAATAAGTCGAATAACGATTATTATACGATAAGTTCGGTCAAAATTTTAACAAGAATGTTTGATAGTCTATCGTTTGTATACTCGTCTTTTTTTTTTTTTAAATTTCTTCGTTGCGTGCTGTATCTTAGCAACCTCTCTTTCTCTTTCTCTCTCTATCTCTCTTTTCATTTTCCAACTCTTCGTCCTTCTCAATCTTTTGGTTCCATTTTCTTTGCATAGTAATTCATAATATATGAAAAGTGTTACGTCGTACGTGCATCGTGTAGAAAGTATTCTCGTGGGTAGCCTTTGTTACTCGTTTGTGACTTGCTGTTCCTAGCTTCTGCAGTATCTGTATACAAGTGTCAACGGCTCGTTTCACCTATCTCGAGAATACCATGCTATTCCTCTCTTCCTCCTCCTCCTCCTCCTCCTCCTCCTCCTTCTCTTCTTCCTTCTCTGCTTTCTCTTCCTTCAACTTACGGAAATTAACATCTTTCATAATTATTGTTCCGCGACTAGTCATAGCACAGTTTTTGGTTGTTGTTCAACGTGTGTTGTTATTGTACGAAACTTTCACAATGGAGACATATTTTTACTTTCTCTCTTTCTCCCTTTTGTTTTTCTTGTAGTTTATTTTTTACACTTCCGCTTTGTGACATTTCCTTTTCCTCTTTTTTTGGCTTGCTTTGTCATATACCCATACAAGGAATATTTATCATTAGCTAAATTTCCATTAATTAGAATTAGTATTTATCTTGAGAAAAAGATAATAGCTTTGTCGAAGTCTTGTCTTTGTTTCTAGGTGATACAAACAATTTCTAAACTCGTCGATTGTAGGAAAAAGAGAGAAAAAGATATTTTTTTTAATACTCGATGTTTTCTGTTATTTATTGCATTTTGCTCGATAAAAAATCATCATCATTAATACAATATTATTATTATTATTTTTGTTGTTGTTGTTGTATTATTCTTATATTCTCTTCTCATTCTTTACATATCGTAGAAAGAAAAAAAAATGATTCCTAGGTAAATCGAGAACATTAGAATTTATTAAACGCTCGTGCGCGAAAGTATCGATAGGAGCAATCGTTTTCGTTATTGGTACGTTCAGATGGTCGATAAAAGGATGGACAACGTCCAGATAGAGTCACGTCCGATGTTTGTGTCATGTATGTATATATGTATATCTATGTACGTACATACATATGTGCATAAAATGAAATGCTTCGATGACCGCCTACTGGCGATAGCGATCGATTAATGTGCATTCGCGATAATGGTTTCGAGAGTTCGACTTTATTGCCGAGAAAGAAAAAAAAAAGAGGAAAGGAAGAACATTTATATTATTTTTCTATTCTATTAAAAAAAAAAACCAAAAAAAATGTAAGCATAGAATAATCACTAACATATACACACATACATACACAACGTGACTAGGATAAATTTGATTCAATTAGTTATCGTTAATTTGATCAATTTAATCAATTTTATGATGATAATGCAACATTAGTGCTATTGAGGAAAACTAAAATGATAATTTTCTTTTTAAAAGTACAATAACGTTTTATGTTTGTTGTTACACGTTTTTTATTCTTTGCTTTAACTCTGAAGTTTTTGATAGGCAAGAATGACTGATAAATAAATAAATAAATCGAATAACTGTGATAACAAAATTTATTGTTTAAAATAATACGAGTTCTTTTTTTGTTCTTTTTTTTTTCGGGAGAACGTTAACTTACAATTAAATGTCTCGATCGTGAGGAAAATTTCTAGCTGAATGTGATGAGCAATCCTCGCAAGAGGTAGATATGAACTACTTAAAATTGCAAAACGAGTATTCTCTCTCTCTCTCTCTTTCTCTTTTTTTTTCTTTCTACACGTTCTTCTCTCAGTTGCAGCTCGCCGTCAGAACCTTAAACCGTGGAATAGTAATTTCCTTTATTGCAAGCATTATCGTTATCCCACAGGTCGCCTTGGTAGTTATCTTTCCGTGTGTTCTTTTACGAACAAAAAGAAAGCAAAAAAGAAAAAGAAAAGAGGGGAAGAAAGAAAGAGAGAGAGAGAGAGAGAGAGGATGAGAACATTTTCGAGTTTGACTTCTTATTCTGGGAAAAAGTTCCTTCTAAAAGATATATATATTACCGTAAAAAACTGAAATTGGAGAATGTGGAGATTCACACGGTCGTTTGGTATATGTTCGAAATATTAATGTATCAGAATAAACCCAAATATTTGATCTTTCACCGACATATTTAGTATGTGTTGACATTTGACCACCTTGGTTAAAAGAATCTTCACATTTTCCAATTTCGGTTTTACACGGTAACATATACATATATGTAGGTATATATTTTTATTTTGGGACAAAACTCATGTACGAAGGAACATGGTCATCGAACGAGATTGAAATTTGTGAAAGTTCGAGAATTTTGTCGATCTTGAGTAAATAATTTGGATGATGTTGAAGTAAAAAGAATTTTTCAAATATAATCAACTTCTTGTTTATTTTATAAATATTACGCATCTATATTTCCTTTTTTTTTTTTTTTGATAATAAAAAACTGTAGTTTTAGTCGAGTTTCGTTCATAAAGATTAACCCGATCGGATTATCTGAAAGCTCGGGTACGATTTGTGTCGATAGGTTTTCTCTCTCTCTCTCTCACACACACATACACATTCTCGACAATCGTAGTAAATATCTTTCGCATTTATCATTTAAATCTTCGTTCGGTTTGGAACCAGAGAGAGAGAGAGAGAGAGAGAGAGAGAGAGAGAGAGAGAGAGAGAGAGAGAGAAAGAGACAGACAGATAGATAGAAGAGGAGAAAAAATGGCCTACGAGTGTCATTATCATCGCGGATGATAAATTTTCATCGTTGCGACGGACATGTATTATAAACCTCGAACATCGGCTAGTGAACAGAGCAAGCAACGTTGTCGATACCTACGCCATGAAAACTGGTTGCGGTTGTTGCAATATTGTCGCCAATTTCGTACCGTGGCACCGCGCAAATATTGTAACAACTGTGTCCCCTATATACCTACCAACCGATATATCTGTATAGAACGGATATGATATATATATATGTAGATATTCATATAGACATATGAATATTTCCGATGGTCCAATAATTTTTTCAATCGTGTTTCACTTTTCTTTCATAATTAGATTTTATTACCGCGTTCTTGTGATTAGATTATAATATTATTTAAATATATATTTATATTTTCATGTTTAGTTTATCAAATATATTTTATACGTACGAAAAGTTCAAAACAATTTATAAATCAAATTTAATATAAATATCTTTTTGAAATTTCAAATAAATTAATTGAAGACTTTCTCTCAACATCAATAAAAAGTGCAGATCAATATTTCTAATGAGATTAGAAGGAGTAGAAAAGTGAGTAGAATTAACCGTAATTTCTCTGGTAATTTTTAATGGCAGATTCTGTCGCGAAGGTTTTCTCAATATCTAAATAAATTTATTTTCATTTTATCTTATCGACGATTGAAATATATTCGATAATCCTTTGAATATTTTCAATGCTTCAATAATTATATATATATATATATATATATATATATATATATATATATATATATATATATATATATATATATATATATATATATATATATTGTATATTTTTATTTATATGTAATATAATATTTTCTTTATAGGTTTATTTAAGGCAAACAATTTGTTAAGTAAAATGGTAGTGGTAGTTGAAATAATCGATGAAAGTCCTAAAGAAAAAATATTTCTCGGTGGTTGGAGGGATAATCTTACAGGAATATTATACTACAATGCTTTTACACAAACATCTGTAAACGGAAGGGATTTTAATAATAAGTGTAATTCCTTCGTACAAACAGTTAATGTTGTCAACGTTTCCACTTGTACGTATCGTGATAAAGCTGTTCGAACGAGCTATGTTCCTGACGTAAAAGATAAATTCGTTCGAGTTCGTAATACATTTAACACGACCACCGAATTACTGGGATCAACGAATTTGTTGTTGGAAACGAGTGCAATCAAGATACAGAGATTTTACAGGTAAAATTTAATTAATCGAGTAATCATTTTAAATCATAACGATGAGAATAAATTTGGTAATTCATTTAAATATTTATAATTATAATATATTAAAAAATAAAAATGAATAAATATTCCAATATTATTTATCGGATCAAACCAATAATAATAATGACAGTTATACTAGAGAGTTATTTATTAGAAAAAATGTTATTATTTGATAGAGCTTATCGCGCAAGGAAGAATAAGGGCGGATTTTTGGAAAATTTCATTGAAGAAAGGAGCGGTTTTCTCGAAAGCTCGAGTCGTCCACTCGAAAGGATAGATCTCTCGAGACTAGACGTTCTGCACCCGGAAACGAAATCCGATTTTGATCGGCTCTACAACGCTTTGGAGGAATGGCGTATTTTAGAGATCGAGAGAGTGACCGGTAAGCTTTTCCACCCATCGAAGATCGCCGTTTGTAGTCTCATCCTATCGAGAGAAGTAGAACTACTTCGTAAGATAGACGCGATGAAGAGTGCGGTGAAGCTGAAGTTGAAGGAACGACGTAGATGTTACTTCCTTGAGGAGCTTTCCAAACCTGTCCTTTGGAGGATTAATCAAGGAGAATCGATCTTAGTAGACACGCCGATCGTTCTAAGGTCACGACAATTTCAAAATCTTTACCAAATGCTTTCAACCAAGGATGACAATACTGATGACGATGATTATGACGACGACAACGATAACAAGTCATCCTCATTATCATTCTCTTCCTCCATTATAAGACGCATGAAACTTTTGATGAAAATTAAAAAAGAAGCCGAACCACATACTTGCATTTATTCCGATGAATTGATTTATTTAATTAATCAAGAAATCGATCTTCTGTCACGTAACACCAAAGTTTCCAAACTTCATTGTTTGAGGGAACGAATTAAACTTGCTTTTTTATTATTTGCCAAAAGTTATTTGATAAATTATCAAAAGAATTGCGATCGAGACGAGGATCGAATTGCATCGAGAATATGTAAAAATTGTGGTAGAATTTTACCTAAGACTAAATATTTGTCGAAAGATTTGGGAAGATTTCGTCAGTTCTCATCGTGCGTTTACTGCATCAGTTTACGTCCTGGGAGGACACCAAGGATCGTCTACGAGCCGTATCGACGAATGCTGAGGGAGGTCAGGCGTCTAGAGACGAGAAACCGTTGTAACACAGGATTTGCTTTCGTGATACCTCCCAAGGTCGTTTATCGTCTAGTGAACACTATCTGGCATGGAAAATCTCCTATTTCTGAGTGCGACATACTCGATCGATTGTGCCTCTTACGTTTTCGTAATGACGTTGAATGGTCACCCTGGAATACTTTACTTTTGACTAAAGAGGAAGCTCTTAAACATCAGAGATTAAAAAATATCGAAGAATATTATGACGAAGATCTTCTTCGTCAGTTTCATCTGAAAAATTTGCAAGCAAAACTTTGCTTTAGTTCATTATTTGAAAGATATAATACCATTATCGATTAATTTTGATTAATAAGTATATTATAATTATTTTCTTAGTTTTTAAGATTTTAAAATAAGTTGGGGACTATAAAGTTGGATTTAAAGCTAAATTTTTCGTTTACAAATTTACTATAAAACAATAGGACAATTTTGTCGTTCAAGTTATACATGAAAGAAAGATTAAACAAAGAAAAGAAAATATACTATGATATAAATCAAAATTTTTCTCGCTGAAACATACTATAAGAATAAGAATAAGAATAAAAAGAAGAAGAAGGAAAAAGATGAAGTGGAAATACGTTGAGTGCGTATTAAAATGTAAAAGTTATTCCTTGTTCTTCCGTCCAGTCTGTCTTCGTGCTTTTGTGAAAAGCTTTTTGGTCGCGTTGATAGAGCAAGTTAATCGTGTTGCAGTTTATAAACTAAGTTTACCGTCTAAACGTGAATGCGTCCAACCTTCTAAAATTACGCCTTCTCATAACGACAAACAACGTCCTTTCATTTCCCTCTATTTTTTTTTTTATTTATGTATTTTTCTTTTTTATTTAATGTCAAAGGCAAGGATAAAACGACGATAAAAATGTTTAGTTATATTAAGTATTATATACAGTATTTGTAGATTTTCCACCGAATTTTGGAGAAATGTAGGACCGAGAGATTCTTATCTATCTAATTCGCATAAAAATCATAAATGACAAGGTCATAGTTCATAGGTATAATATATTTAAGTATAAAATATTCTTTTATAACGGTTATAAAATTAATGTGATATATATTAAAGGGTCAAATATATGTATGTGTATTATTTTAGAGAATGTATGGTTTATGTTCGTGTGTTTGTGTATATGTTAAATTTCCTAATGTCGACTATATTCCGGTAGAGTATTCCGACGGCATGAAGAGAACAACGAGCTTTATATGTTAGTCTTCGAAGAAGAGTTTCGTTAGAAAGACGATGTCGAAGAGAACATTTCAACGAAACGTTTCCCAAGGGTGTCATTTCCAACGAAAAGTCTTTTTTGATACGGTAGACTGAGTGGGCCGATCACGTCTATTCTCGGACACAAGTATTAGAAGACTCATTCAACTTTTCAAGAAAAAAAGAGATCCAACATCTATTACATTAAACTATTTTCAAATTAGTTTGTTTTACAAATAAATAAAGATTATTTTTTATTTTTATTATTCTAAGCCATTTGTTTCGTTTTCTGAAAATAACGTTATTATATGATTTAGTTGATTATTTCATGAATATTAATGGATGTTACATTTTAATAATAACATATATATATATATATATATATATATATTGTTTCTAATATTTTTATTATATTTTAATTTATAATTCAAATCTATCTCACACTTAATTTCTTAGTTAATTTTGAAAATTGGATGATAAAATAACTGAACATGGAAATAAAAATTACAATTTTTTTCTTTCCTATGATTTTTTAATATATCATCAAGTAAAAAAGGAAAGAATTTAACTTATGATTGTTTAATAATTATATGATCGTTTTGATTTGATGGTCTTGATAAGAAGCATCGAAAAAGTTAATTCATTATTTTCTCGCGTGTTTTGAGAGCGTACGTGCATGCAGGCGTGTGTTTTTTGATCATTTTTTAGTGTATCAAAAGAAGTAAGGAAAGAAGGATAGTATTAAAAAAAAAAAAAAAAAAATAGAAAAGAAAAAGTGAAAGAATATGTGGTCGGATAAATTTATTACATTGGCTGTAAGAAGAACGCTGATCTACGTCAAGTCATTTACCGTAAAAGAATCGAGAACTGTTCGAGAGAATATCTTAATTTTCAGCAACATTACTTTCCCGTTTTTCTACAGATTTGTAAAACGATCCTTTTACACGAGCCTTTCCTCCCTTCAATTTTGATATCTCCCTCTCTCTCTTTTTCACCTACTTCTGTCTAACTCGTTTCTCTAACTGTCTTGATATAATCCTTTCGCATTTTTCTTACGAAGGACATTCATTCGTATGACTTATCTAGATAGATAAACGTACATGTATGCGTGATTCTATGTCGAATGAAATTTGTAAAATAAAAGTTTGTATGATTTATGCGCTAGTACGTAACATTTGTATACATCAAAATAAAATACATTTTATTTTAATGTAATATCAACATTTTACATAAACAATAAAATAGTATAATATTAGTTAATATTTTAATAATTATAATTAATTTTCATGATTATTTCTTTATTTTATTATTCAATTTTGCAAATGTTCTGTGTTCAGTTAAAAATCACTAATTAACATTAATGACAATGAGAATTATTGTTTATCAAACAAATTTTGAATAGGAAAAATCAGATTTAGGAAAAGAATGCTTTTTTTTTTTAAACACTTCACACTGCTAGGTGTTATTGATACTTTTTATGGAGTAATGTCTAGTAAATTAAAAAATAGGTAATTTTGAAAGTTAATTAATGACTTTTAATTGAACATAAGCGACATACATTTAATTAGCAAATAAAATAATAATAGTATTTCATAATACAAATAATAGTAATATTAAATATAATACCATTAAATAAATTCAATTAAATTTTTGGATTAGAAAATGATCAGAACGAATATGTAGCTTTTCAATTTTTTTGATCATTCCTCGATGTAACCTTAGCAGGTTTGTTTTGCTGTTAAACTTGAGTGGAGTCAGAAGGTAAGATAAGATGTGCCAGTGAAACTTACGTAATTTGTCTTCATTTCCGGCGGAGGGATTCGTTTATAGTTGTTGTCTGAGAGACGTTACGTTAGGCACGTAAAGTTATTAAACGTAGTACCGATAGCCGTGGCTTTGCATTGAAATAAAGTTTCGGAGTTTAAATTAGAATAGTTTCGTATGTACTCATCCCTTCTCTTTCTCTCCTTCTACCCCCTTCTCACCCTCTTTTGATCTGTTTCTCTGTCTCTCTCGTTTCAACATTCTTCCTATCTTTCTTTCTCGTGGTTGTACGTGCGAAAGTACAGATGCACAACGTATACTACAATAAATAAAGCTGATCTTAGCTGCGATATAGACAAATATATATCAATGTCAAGTAGACGGTCCGCTTTAAATGCAAATTCAAGACTCTTTTATTTTCTTTTCTTTTCTTTCTTATATTTTCCTTTTTTTTCTTTATACCATATAGAAACATACTTGCTCACCCCTCGATTGAATTATATTTCTCGAAACAGAAATTATATACTTTTTATTAACCCCTTCAACGAAAATCAAATTTATTATTCTCACATCGAACAAGATGTATTAATGTTTTTTGAAGTGAAAACTTCTTTAAAATGTTTTATTATTTATTTAATTTTTATATTTAATAAGATATTATTAAACTATCCAACGAATGTTAAAGAATAACTGATTTAAAAATAAATATCGGAAGTCAATATCTCCGCGTTAATATGTACATCGTAGAATCATTAAAAACTTATTTGAATTCTATAAATGTATTGTAGAAATCTAGAATAGAATAAAATCATTTGATGCGTATGGTTGTGCCTTTAATCTTTTTCCAAATGGACAGACTCGCATAGAAGCTTTTTCACTAGTGAGCTTCACACTCGATTTATTATTCTCTTCTAATGACATTCGCGAAATTATCTCTCTATATATATATATCTAAAGGTATACAGGCTGTTTCTAAATATGTGAGCATAATTTCCAAGGGGGCGTTTCAATACGCTAAAAAAAAAAAATAATTCATATGAATCATATTTTCGATATGACTTTTATAGAAACTGTTCGAAGTTACATTTGGCTTCAATATATCCTTCAAAAATCTTATTATAGATCTTTTCACTTATTAAAAATTACCAACAATTACTAATTGTTTGAATTTGCCACAAATTGTATTGAATATGATGACATAGTTTTTTGGTATTGTTTATCAATGTATTATAAAAACTAAAGACTTCAGGTATTCCAACAAATAAAAATTGATATCATATGATATCATGCGATAGTGCTGGTCAATTAATTGGCCTTTCACTGCGATTTATTAATTTTACAAACTTTCATTTCAAAATTGTGGACATTTCGTACAGTTCCTATGAAAGTAATGCAACAACGTATATCATTTGGAGCCGTGGTAAGAATTTTGGTTTCTTATTTTAGCGTTTTGAAATCATCTTTAAATTTATGTTCACATATTTTGAAACATCCTATATACATATGGGTATGTATGTATTTCTCTACGTTCTCATTTAACGATAACTTTATCCAAGTTAAAGCATTATCCGTTTAAAGCACGTTAATGAATGTTATTCATGTAGGTAGATAGGTATATGAGAAATTAGAGCAACGTATCGTTCATGCGTTTTATATGTGAATTGACATAGTTTTAAAGGAGCTAATGGACATTGCCATAACAGTGATTGTCAACTGGTTACGATTTTATGCGAGTGCTTGCTCATCATTTTACTCAGAAATAAAAACGTTCTTTCCATTTGTCTATCTATAAATGCATGCATGCGTGCGTGTATGCGTGTGGGCGTGTGTGTATAAGAGAATCCATGTAAATGTAACTTATCTACTTACAATTAGATACATAGTATTGCTACATACATACGAATCTATATATGTAATGTATGTATTTATGTGTATATGTGGAACGTAAGTATATAACGCGTAAACGCGCTTCCAACGAGTGACTAATTGCATCGATTTGTGTGAAGTCGATTTAAAAATGGTTTATTAGAGAACTCACTAATTGTTCGTGTAATTGTCGCGTACTCATTATCAACTCGTTCTTTACCATCGAATTAAATTGACAGTGAAAATGTTCAAACAAAAGAATGAGAAATAAGTTGGACAGATAAATAGATAAATATATAGATAGATAGATAGATGGGAAAATCGTAAATGTGTTTATATGTAATCTTTCGTAAAAACACTTGTACTGGAAATTATTTAACAAATTTTTATCAAATTCAATCACTACCAGAAATTTAATTACTTCGACGTTAAAAGGGGGTTTGGGAGTTTAGGGATTGGTATCATAAGATGAGGTGAGACGAGGTAGGGGTAGGTATCTAATGCTTTTCGATCGATCGTTAAATGAGA